GGGCGGCTAGAGTCTGGAACCAGCTTCCAAGTGAGGTGGTGCAGGCTCCCACCCTGGGGGTTTTTAAGAGGAGGTTGGATGACCACCTTACTGGGGTCATTTGACCCCAGTGCTCTTCCTGCCATGGCAGGGGGTTGGACTAGATGATTTGCTCAGGTCCCTTCCGGCCCTAGAAACTATGAAACTATGAATAAATCTTTGAGAAGCTTAGAGTATTATAGAAATGTCTGACTAGTACTTATTTTTTTTCAGAATATACTGCACTGTATAAACTATTTATAATAATTTATGTTAAATACCTGTCAAATGAAATAATACATGCATATATTTTGTGATGGAGCATCCATGACTTACTATTAACAACTGCTTTTACTGGCATGGAAAGGAGATGAAACTATACTGGGACTGGGTTTAATGAAGCTTTACAATACCAGACCACAGCATTTAACTGAATATGCTTTTCTAATGGTGGTATTAAACTACTTTATTTGCAATATTATTTAACAATAATGCATGTAAATGTATTTGTATTTTAGAACAGTTCAATAGTGCACCTATGACCTCCCTGCACTTCCTATTAGAAAAGTGTTCTGTTAACACAAGCTGTTCAAAACTGTGTTAGCTAGCAAAATATTTACTGTTTATGTCCACAAGTGTCTTCATAAAACAAATTTAGATATCAAAACAGCAGAATGAGGCTCTGGAACATAAAAAGAAATTATTTAAAACCAAAGAGAAGTAATACATGACGAGCCATCTACTCAGACATCCAATATCTGTGATTGAACAGACATGAATAAATAAAAAAGATGAGATTAAAGCAGATTAAAATGTCAGTATTAAAAGAAATGCTGAAAAATAATTTTAGAAACCCAAGATGAATTTCAGGCAAAATGCAACTATTACTGAGCAACTGTTATTTTAAAGATTAAAATATCCATTTTTTTAAACAAACAAGGTTAGCCTACTGATAAGATCAGCCTCTCTGTGCAGAAGCAGAAAAATCACACAGTGATATAATGATATGCATTTACTCTTAAGATCCCATATTCAAAAACAAGTGCTATACTGTCCAGGTTTTGAAGGTTCCTTTTAAATTGATGCATTTACAGAACAAGCAATTCTCAATATCAAATTAAGAACACAGGACCCACACCAGTACACCCTAGCAAAAGTAACCCTGAAGCTTAAAGGCTACACAGGTCAAGGTTACAATACATTTGCCAATATATACACTAAAAATATATATTAAGAAAGCTAGAGTGGGTTCATCTTTCCTGTCACGTTGTGCAAGCAACAGGAACAACCAAGAAAAATATTGCTGCTTTAAAAAAAAAAAAGACAATTGCAAAATGGCTCATTTTGTTTGTTTTTCTTTTATCAGCCCCGGGATGGATCTCCTATTAACATCTGCCATGTATCACTGTGTAATCCTCCTTTTCTCTTTCGGCCCCAACTACAGCAATTCTGGGTAACCCTAATCTTTAAAGTGGACAAGAATCATAAAACCCTACCTGTGGGGGGAAGGATTATGGAGCGCAGCATGCTTTTTAGTAGATAGGATTTAAACAAGCAATAAGGAGAGGAAAACCTCCCAAGACATAATCCGACCGTCTCAGACTGACCCAATTCTTTTGGCGTAAGAAGTGATCATCAAATATCTGCCCTGATTTAAATTGGTAGTTAAGTGTGGTAAAGATTTTTCAGGTTCTAAAGTGTTATTTAATTTCTGCCTCATCTGATGACATATTTGAAACATGGGAGCAATTTAAGATGCAGTTTTGTATGGAGAATTAAAACAAAAATATGGAGAATAATAAAAAAAAAAAGGGAGTCTCACTGACTAATTACAAGATTTTTGTGGCAGATAGAGGGAGTGAGTGAAGAACACCAGGGAGGTATAATTTATACAGTCTGTCAATGCAGAGCCATAATGCATTGCCTAACAGGAAAGTATGCACATCACCAGATCTAATGTGGCACTAACAAAGGAGATTCAATCTGGCTTCCCGAAATGAGAGAGGCACACAAGGCAGAGGGATGCTGAATGACCTAGTCTACCCAATTTGTAGGTGGAGTCAATTTAAGAGAGTTCGTTAACGTGAACTGAGCCTTGAAAAATACCGCACCAATATTAATATCTATAATTGAGACAAGCTTTACCTTGCATTTTATGAACAGCAGCTGGGAAGTGTTGTTGTGGCTTTGATGTACCGATCTGGACACATAATTACCCTACAAAAGTTTTTTGCATTCAAGGCCGGGGCAACTACATTTTCCAATTTGTTCTATGCAAGTCTCGCTACAACCAGTTTATTTCCAAAAGTTACAATGCCCTAAATTCTTAAATGACCAAACAGTCCCTTCCTGATGGATGGAAATCATTGGGATCTGCAGCATAAAAAGCACTTTGGGCCATAATTAAGGAAAGCAAATTGCCTTAACTGAATTGTATGGGGATAGTATTATCAGTTTATTTTTGCCCTGTTCCCAAAGGGACTGTTTTAAAGGTATGTCATAATTTATCAATTTGTTATAAGCCTGTGGAATTCTTGCATTCAAAGGCACTCACAGAACATTTTGCTGGGTTTTTTTCCCCCCTAGAGCTAAAACCAAAAAAAGACAAAGTACCGTTGCATCCAGTACAAAATGATTTAGAAACATGCTTTGCATCATTACTTGTTTTCCAAACATGATGGAAAGAATATGCCTGTCTAATAATTGCTATTTGCTTATTCGTTATGAATCTATACCAAAATATTCATAACCCTGTATCATAAAATGCTGAGAAAGTAAAGGATGAACCACCGTTCTTTGGTTTGTGTGCAACTAAGCCGGAAAGATGGTTTGAGAACAACCAAGGGACACACACAAAAATGGAACTGTAATAATTATCTTAATTTTTAGTATTTATAAAATGAGAACTGATTTTATTCTGTAGCCAGTTTAGGTGTACTGCCAATTCATTTTTTTAAAAGAATAAGGTGAGATGGACCCTTGAACAATAAGCAGAAGTGTTTCTCTACTCCGAGGAAGGGCAGTTGAGAGTTTCAGCAAGGCTCCCTCATTTTTTGTGTTATACTACTCCCATCTTCAAGGTCAGGCAACTTAACCACTCTTTTAGGTAAGGAGGGACTGACGCCATTTCTTTCGGAGCCCATCGCCACAAAGGTCAAAGCAATGAAGACATGTCCTAACCTCTGCTGGTCCACAACTAAAAAAAAATTGAGCCTTGAAACTCCTCCAAGAAACAAGTGTCTCTCGCTCGTTTACCTGCATGTCCAGATGTGACCGGAATCGACTCCAGTCCACCTTGTACTAGACAATATAGAGCTGGCTAGGATGGCCTTTGCTCCCTTGGTTCTTGTGCAGAGTGGCTGCTTACCTGTGTTGATTAAAGCTTTTGGTCGAATGGCAGCTTGAACGGTTAAGGTATGGAACAGCTTCCAGAGGGAGCAAGTATAACCTCTTAGCTCTGGTCTGCTGCCTTGACAGCCAACCCACTGGACGTGGTTAGTGAGAAATATTCCAGATATCTGAAAAGAATGCACACTTTAAAATGAGCCCAATTCTGGGAGCGACGTTCCTTGATATTGATTCTTTAAAATGACATTTCACAGCCGACCATTACAAGTGTGTTAGAGGCTAGCTAGTGCAGCAGGGGCCAACCTTTGTTGACAGGCAGGCCGCAAATTAAGCCTGTGCCCTCCCTGAATGCCCCCCTGATGCCCTTCCTCTGCTTTCTGCTCCCTGCCTGATGTGCCGACGCTGCCTATGCCACATGTGCCGAGGTTGCTCACCCCCACCCTAGTACATGACGTGTGTTTGGCACGCATGTTCCTCTTGTTGTGTTTACCTGCTGATTGCAATGGTAAGTGGTGGTAGGTGGCACAAACTTACAGAAGCAAACAAATACAAGGCAGTCTGTACAACGCTCACACTTCAAGCTGGGGCTGCACTGCCTCTAGCTGATTATTACTGCATTATTGTGTTCATTACAGGTTTAGTATTTTCCCCATCTTACTTTCCCAAAGGAAAAACGGGGTTTAGTGAAACACTGTTCAGACCATGAGGGCCAAATCTGAAAGGTGTTGCAGGCTTTAAATATTCACTGAAATGAAAGGGTATTGAGTGCTTTGCATACATTCAGCAATCTCCTATATCAAACTCTAGTTGACATAAGTACTAGATGATCCTAATTTAAAATAGAGATGATCTAGCTAAGACAGTATTAAGCCCCTCTCTCTTCACTTGTATTTCTGATTATGGGAAATTTAACTTTAACTTTAGGGGCTCTTAAACTCAAGTTTGGGCTGTTTGGATGTACTATTATACTCCTCCTCCTTGGGCATAAATTAGCTCAGGCCACAAACATACTAGGAGGTGAACATCACTGCTTGCAAATGCTATAACTTAGTGTGCTGGAAAACATTAAGCATTTTAATACACTAACACCACAAAAGCAAAACTTTAATTTATTCATTCATAAACTCAGACTGAGTCCAAATTTTACTGAACACAATCAAGAGCTACATTTAGTAAGAACTGCATTACATTACTATAGTAACAGTAAATAACTGGTTCATACATTATTTTTTTCTTAGTCATAAAAACAGCATCAGCAGTTACACCCAAAGAATATGCTACTGCTGGTTTACCAGGAGATTTCTTCTCCTGATTAAAAACTCCATTTTAAAAACTAACTCCAGCCTCTGCCTTACAAAAATGTGCTTGTATGGGATGCCCACAACTTCAGCAAGAAGGTAACCAACCTGAAAACCCAGCAGAAGATTTGATATTTATTAACCTTACTCTGGGGAGTGAACAACCTAGACACATTTTCAAGAGCTGCACGAGACTCACCACTTGGGAGGAAGAAAATGACATCTCAACCCCTGTAGCTCGGCAGTGACCACTGACAGCACTTTGCTGACTATGAACTGTCCATCTGAGTCTGACACGTCTGTTCTAGGTTAGGACCTGACAATCTGCAGAGATGCGTCACATCTCCACAGCTAAATGTGCCATCTTTCATGCTTTGAACAGCTGGAGAATTGTGACAGTAGGATAACTGGTTCAATTCAATGTCTTGCAAATCCAGTCCATTGGAGATAAGAAAGCAGAGTTAACTGACTCAGTGTAAAATTAATATGGCTCTGCAGAGTCTCATCCAGCCAGATTTAGTCAGAGACGTGATGTTCAAAACACAGTATGTGTGTGTATGTATGCGCACACTTATGCACACATGCGCGTGCATACAGCATTTTTAATTTCTGAGTATAATATTGAGGGAGCAAGTGGAAAATGGACAATATAAGCGACTGTTCACTCAGAACAGATACAGGATTCTCCTATCCAGCAGTGTTGTCATTTCACTCAGTTAAGTTTCTTCATGTGGATTTTTTTTCCTGCTTAACAATTTCACTTTATTTTCATTTTAACCTTCTTATAACTCCATTATGACTGAGGGAAGCATTAGTAAGCGATGTCTTGGATTTATAAAGAACCTTATCCTTTACTAATGCTGTATTTTATGCTGGAAACTAGTAACAGCTTACCCGCATTTTATTGTTGACGAGATCTAGGATAGCATCATAAGGGATTTTGTCTAATGGAAGGCTCACCAGCCACTCTTGCAAAGTCTCCAGCAACTTCACCACAGGCTGACGGCCAGGAAACAGCTGAGAAAATAAGAAAACATCGACATTTGAAAGCTCTCATCTCATTAGCGGTGAAACCATTTGATATTTTCTAAATGAGCTTTTACCTCTGTAAAAGCTTCCGTTAAACTTGGCACATCGGACTTTTGTTAGATACAAATCAATCACTAGTTATATTTTTCAACAACAAGCCATGTTGTGTTAATTCTGCATCTGTCAAAAATGTTAATAATGGGCTGTATGCACACACTGCTCACCAGTGAAATGCACCTGGTTTTTTACAGTATGCAGCGATACTATATAATAGATGAGGACAGAAGATTTTTGTATCCAAACTGAGGGGGACGGTAACTTGACAGATGATTCAAGATGCAATTTTGACAGGTGCCTTTATAGGACTTCTAATGATCGTTAGAGTTCAGGACCTAGACACACGATCATATTTTTAACAAAGGATGGGGGCCTAAAGCAAACATACAGCAACGGGTTAGTTACCTGCTCATTCCCCATGGTAAATAAAAGTGAAACCAGGGCAGTTTTACCCACCCTACATGACATCAGTCCTTAATAATAACGGAATGGAGGAAAACATCACAAGACCTACTACAGTATCTTGCCTTGCTATGGAAATCTCTCATCAAACTTTTGACCTAACCCAACTCTACTTTACTTACGTTTCTAGTTTAGGAAGGATGTTTGAAGGCCAATACATTTTCTTACACAGATTTCTACCCTTCATATTAAAAAAAAATATTTATAGTGGGAGAAAAAAGCAGATAATACACGGCTTCCTTCAATATCACAGCTATTTTAGAGAGAGGATCAAAGGCATATTTACAAGGAAATGTGACTCCCTGTTTAAAGCTGCAGCAGTGGTTACACAGGCAGCATAGGTTGTAAAGACTGAACTACAGAACTATTCTTTCGTTTCTTGGGAAGAAAGCAACTAGTCCTATCAGACTTGGATTTGGGTAACTGCACTTTCCATATTAAATGCTTCATATGGTTTAATTTTATGTAAGGTTATTTCCTCTTTATCCTAAACTCTTGTGCAAAGATGATCTGTGTTGTTACACAGTTCCTTTCACCAAGTGGCAGCACTTCCAACAGTCAAGGAAGCAGCCCCTCTGTCAGCTATATCAGAAAACAGGCAAAGAACTGTTATAACACAAAATGCTAAAGAAATGCTAGTTCGTTCTACAGTAGCTATCCAATTATTTATACAAAACTTCTTGGTAGATAACCGCTTCTTTCCAAATGCTTGGTTCAAGGTCTGGTGTGTGCTTAATTTTATGATTTTTTCCCCCTACTCCAAGTCTCCTTTAATTAACTGATCAAACAACTCTTGAGCAGGAACAATTTGTCTGTACATCACCTTGCACAATGGGCCCTAGGTTTTGACAGGGATTCAAGAACATTGTTGTAATGTAACCAATAATAAAACTCTGTACAGCTGAAACACCGATAATGTACACGACCATTATATTGGTGCACTTCTCGTAAGCTGTAACAGCCTCTCAGAGGCCGACTAGTGCAAATGTTAAAAGACTGAAAGAAGCATTTTACATGTAGACCCTATTTGAGCAGCACTCCTAGTCTTTGGGGATCTAAGGTAGGCATCCCTCTTATGAAGGACTCGAAAAACAGGCTGCTGCAAGCCCCTCTAATAGCCAACAAGCTAATCCTATGACAGTGAAAATCCCCAAGCAGGGATCTGAAGCCCAGAGCTCTGTGAGTTATCAACATTGTATAGCCTCTTCTTTACCAAGAAGAGTGTGTACAAGCCCCAAAACTGGGGTTCTAAGATTTTTAATCAACTCTCTAGTTTTTAAAAAGGACTGAAGTTCTAAAGAACAAAGCCTTAAATCTGATCAAATAAAATGAAGGTATCCGTGTTGTTCATTCAATTTCTGAAGTTTTAGGATATGAAGTACCCTACCACTAAGAAATCAAAACTGGAATAAAAGGTGACTTATTTGAAGAGACATATTCTTCCCAAGTGTTCAACTTCCATTGCTGTTGCAGGAACTGGATGAGAGAGAAGAGAAAATGCCACTAAAAGAAGGCATTCCCATTTATGCTCTAATAGCAAGGACAGTAAATTACATTAGTTGGCCAGGATCCATCAGGGAGAACAGAGGGTGTTTTAGGGATAATATGATGGACAGATTAGCACTACACTTTCTTAAAGGAAATGAGGCCAGCTAGAGATTTCTGACCTCTGCTAGTCATAGGGGAAAAGAAAGTGACTGATTTTTCACACAAATCCAGATACTTGGAAATGTTATATAACCTTTATTATCCCTTCCCCCAGTCATCAGTTTGCTCTGTTTACAAATAAATGCATGCTGTTAAATGACTGATAATGAAATCTGTAGACACATTAAGTCATGTTTAACTGGAGTTGCTTCACAAGGTTTAATATGAGAATTTCTCCAAGTTCAATTTTCTTTACGTAACACCCATTTTAATATCTAAAATTTAGGACTGGCAAGACCAAAAGAAAGCACCAAACTAACCTCATGTGCTGCTTGGAGTTTGATATATGGTGCTCACCAGCTCTGACTTCAATTAAGATTTTGGAAATCCAACCTGATTTTTAACAGTGTATGTAGTTACACAGGTAGAACAATATGGTTACAAAAAAATCAAGAATGAAAAGAAAAAAAAAGGCCATGCCTAGTTACAACCTATTTTGAAAAAACAATTAAGTCTTCTCCTCCTCCCCACAATTAGGCCTCTCTAGTATGCCTGGGTGAATAATACTGCTTAATTTATTTTAAGCCTTGCAACAGGCTTAAAATTAATAATAATTAAAAAGCATTTTAGTCCTATATGTATTAGCCTGAACAACCCTTCAAAAAACTACATCCTCAGAAATAAAATATCACATATAAGGATGATGTGGATGCAAAACATGCACATTTAAAGGTGTTTCAAGAGACACTTTCAGAGGCTTAAGTCACACGGTAAATTTTACATTGGATTCACTTTACTCTTACAAACCTAATCGAAGAGCAGAAGCGTATACCTTGGCAATGACTGTAACAAAATCCTTGAAGGTTTTTAGCTCAGCTCCCTCAAGCATCTTGTGAGTGGCAAGCTCTACCCGGAGCAGGTAATGCAATCCAGATTCAAGGTCAGCCATGTACAGCTTGGATCTAAAACACACATATATAATGTTAAAAAGTGGCAGGGTTCTTTTTGCTCATTTTCTCACCAGTCACACAGGTAAAATTGATATATAGTGGGTAGCGTTGAAACCTCAACATTTGCTACTTCAGTGACTGTAGTATCTCCTCTTCCAAGTGCAGAAAGGTACAGTGGTTAGTACAGGTGCCTGGTATACAGAACATTACGTTCAATGTCTTCCTTCTTTAAAACAGTAGTTTTATGTCACTCTGTTCTGGGACTAGACAAATGATGCATCGTAGCCTAAGTTACGTTGTATTTGATAAAGAACTTTCTGCTTCCCAGACCACCTTCTCCCTCTACTTAAATTATAACCCTGACATCCTGTCAGCAACAAAACAGTTTGCATCAAAAATGATGACCCCCCCACCCCAACTAGTTAAAACACAAATAGAGAATGATGAGTTCTGAGAAAAAAGCCTTTTGTTTGACAACGAGCTGCACTGCCAAGGAGAGAAAAAAGCAAAAAAACTTATCAGTAAATTGTTGACTTCATGTTGCTTAAATAGAGACATCAACAGGCCAGCTTCAGGCACCCAGACAAACTAATAGAAAGATACCTGCAAAAATGACTAGATCCTAGATGAGTAAGGGTTCAGTTACAACTGCTCAAGAATCAGTTATGAAAATTATCTAATTCGATATAAGCACAGTATTTTTGTATACACTTTTACAAGAAATCTGCCATCTGTTCTGGAAAAAAGGACTGACACTTAAATAGTAACCATAAAAAAATGAAATAAGTACAGAATGGAAGCACTCAGCCTTACATCTTTTCCAGCTAAAGATGGTAAAGGATTATCTCACTGCAAAGCTCTCATATCCTTTTCTCTAACAGTCAAAGAGGGTGAACGTAAACCTTAGTGGATTTGGTCTGATAAACATCTTTTCTGGTGACTTAAGGATTTTTAATGTATTTGCATTTACCCAACAACTTCCCTATGGTGCCCTGATTCACCATTCTATATACAGATACAGAGCACCCTGTGTTCCCTAGGTCTGCCAAAAGCTTATTGTTTAAATTATTATTAATAATACTTTAACTAGAACATAGATTTATAAAGTTTTCTTGGGGAAAAACAAATTTCAGCTAGGGAACTGAACGATTCAAATACTAGTTTCATCCTCAATCCTGCTCCTACCATCATCATTGGGAACAAAACTGAGCCCTTGATATTTTTAAGTGCTTCAAACAGTCAAGGAGAGACCTTTCTTCTAAAGAAGAACACATTAAACTCAAATCCCTGGTTTACTCAGCATCACTGCAAACAGTCACCAGGTCAGTTATTCAACACCAGGTCTATCCTTTGAAGACAGCAAGAGAAGTGGATAAATAATTTAAGATATTGAAATTAATCACTTTACAGCTTCCCACAGAGCAATGGATTTAACTACCAACCATTAGATTAAGGCTGAACAGCATCACTCACTTGTCAAACTCCTTCCACTGCTTGATTTCTGTGCTCTCCTCTTTATTTTGCTTTATGGGTATTGGAAGTTGTGAAAGCAGTTTTCTTCTCACACCAGGCAGTGACTTTAAATAGGAAGAAAAGAAAGACCGAAGAGGCTTCAAACTGTGTGTGAAAGGACAATAAGAGAGTTAAAAAGAACGTCAAGCTAAATGACTGACAGGAAGAGCTAAACATATCTATGAAATAAGAAAAAAAAAAAAAATGGTTCTCTTTAACCTTTGTTCTACAAATCTGGTAAAGCTTACCATGCTGTTTTTGCAAAGTGCAATGTAAAAATATTATAAGAATGATCACATACGCGTAAGACCAGTGATTGACTACCAGCCAAACTAATTCCATTTTCATAAAAACTTCAGGCCATGTTTTACACCTTATTCAGGCAGCATTTCCATGGGACAAGAGTCCCAATCAACACCTATATAATTTGATGCAATATTTTTGTTTCAGATTTGTTGCAAGCTATTTCGCCCTGAGGACCATAATATCAGTGACATCTCCAGTTTTAGCAATTTAATTTCTATACATTTAGCTAATGTCTATGTCAGTGGTTTTCAACCTTTCCAGACACCAGACGCTCCTTGTTAGACTCCAGGCTCCCCTTGGAAAATGCCAACTCTTAGAGCTTTCACTCATTTTTTTTGATTATAGAAAAATAATAAGAGCAATTCTTCTGTTGCTAAGAACTCAGAAAGATCACAACAGGTCAGAATGGATTTCTATTTACAATTTCTGCATTTATCCTGTAAATCATACTGAGGTGTTTGCACATGTAGCAGAGATAATGCTGAGTGGTGCATGATGGCACCCTGAAAAGGATCTCGTAACACTCTGGTTGAGAATAACTGGTCTATGTGCTATCAAACTCCACCGAGTGTCAAGCGTATAAAAAGTGACAGGTTATTAAATATGAACATTATTCTTTTAGTACTCAATTCAGAAAAGATTTCTGATTTTTGCTTGAGGAAGTCAGTCTGTCTACACTACAGGAGTCTGAACACTTAATTTCAATCAGGAAAATAGACTGAACGTATACAAGGTATAAAATGTCATTATAGAAATGCACAAAAAATACAACCTGAGTAAAAGTAAGTTTCTTTTCATATAAATTAAGGTATTAACTGAACCCATTAAAGTACTGCACAAATTCCTTACAGATAGATTAGTACTTACATGTTAATTAATCCATGGGACCCATTTGGATAGATCAGGTAACAAGAAGGGATTGAGGTAATACCAAGTTTCTCCAGGAAAGCCTTATCAGAATTCAGTGCTCTCTTCACCACAATGTTTTCATACTGAATCAAGTCCAAGATCACCTGGGTAATGGAAAGATAAGCATAACAAGTTATACACTGTCTAAGGAATATCTAATCCGATGGTTCTCAACCTTTTAAGACGCAGTGGATTTAAGCCCCTCCCCTCCCTCCGCCCCCAGAAAAGGCTAGTTCCTAGCTTTCACTCATTTTTGACAACAGAAAAATAATAGAGCAATTCTTCTGTTGCAAAGAACTCAAAGACCACAGCAGATCCGAATATTTTGGACACTACAGATTGCCTTTGAAATCTCTGGGTTTACCTTGTGAATCATGTTTGCATGCCTAACACGGTGCTAACATCATGTGGCACCCTGCAGTACTCTTAAAATGATCTCTAGGCACCCCAGGGTGCTGCAGCACCCCGAATGAGAATCACTGATCTAATCCTTGTAGGAAAGGCAAACATGCAGACCACCATATCCTTCTAAATTACACTGTAGACAGAACCACCTTAATATTCACCAAAGATATATATATATTCCTTAGTATTCCCTGGACACCAATAACCCTTGTTAAAGAAGAATTTTATTTTACTCTCAAAACTATTTCCTCTTGTCTTCTGATCCATTTGTTTTTTCCTTGGTTCACTTCGGTATTTTTCCCTTTTAGGTCTCGTGTACCTTAAGACTTCATCAGAAAGATTGATGAAATAGCCTCACGAAGCCTCCAAACAGCCCAGAGGATATTTCTTCACAAATCCCAATGAGTGTGTAGTGAATCACAGAATCATAGACAGTGAGGGTGGGAAGGGACCTCAGGAGGTCATATGTAGCCCAAACCCCTCCTCAAAGCAGGACCAGCCCCAACTATATCATCCCAGATAATGTTGTGGAGACTCCACCCCTCTTTAGATAACCTGTTTCAGTGCTTTACCACCTTCCTAGCGAGACAATTTTTCCTAATATTCAGCTTAAATCTCCCTTGCTGCAACTTGAGACCACTGTTCCTTGTTTAGTCATCTGTTACCACTGAGAACAAAGTGACACACCCCTCGGTAGATCTAGGATTTTGAAAAGGGGCAGGGTTGCAGATAGTGTGGTGCATTATCACATGTAACACAATATATATTTTTTGCCACTTAAAAAGAAACTAGAAGTTTAACTGATATGTTAGCTAGGAGCTATTCAGCTTAAGATAAAAGAAAAAACAAATATAACTTCAGTGGAATATACATTAATTTTCTATGTTGTCTATTTTGTATACAAATACAACAAACTAGGCAAAATAATCAAAAGATATTGTTACATTAGTCTTGTTGTCATTAGAATTAAATGTGCATTTCTCTTTCAGATTCACAAAGGTAATCTAGTCTTCTTGAGCATCTTGACAGATATTTCCATTCCTGAGTTAATGTTTACTTAAATTAATACTTCTAGTTAGAGTTAAAACAGTCTAGAGGGCTGTGAAATAAGAGCTCCGTTATCAGGAGACACTAGCAGGCAGAAGAATAGCAGAAGAAAAGATAATGTAATTAGAGGAACATCAAAAATATTAAAAAAAGAGAGAGGGTCATTAATACCTGAGGAACGAAGAAGAGCTTAGAAGGAATCAGGTAGATTATAATGAGCCATGAAGTCAATTGGCTTCCCTCACTCCCACCTAGACAGAGATGCTGCTGCCATGGCCAGGTAGTTGGAATCCAAGGGGGGGGTGTACCTACACCATTATACCCCCCCTGGATCCAGCCCTAGATACAGATATGCAAGTTTTCAAGCACTGAATCATTTTGCTGAGCATATATAACTGGAGACATTTTTTGACCCTACATTCAGAGCACTTAGATGTTGAAGTCCATAAATTGTGGGAACAGTCAAGAACTTGCACATCTGCAGTGACTTCAACTTTACATGCAATAACTGCCAAACCTGGGCCTGCAAATGTAATGGCCTAGTGGTCAAAACTTGGTCCATAATCTCTCTCACTTTTCTCCATACTACAACCCTTTAAGATGCTACTGCTTAAAGTTATCTTCCTCTTCCATCCTCCTAAAGCTCTTCACTGGTTCACTTGTATCCTCAATTCCTTTGTACATCTTTTACACTTTCTCCCACACTTAATTTAGCGCTTTTTACTATGATATTCTCTGTGTCTCGCGTACTCCCCAGATGTCAAACATTTTTCCTCTGGTTCAGCCAGAGCCATGAAAACATAGGTTTTAAGCCTCCCTTCCCTTCTTCCCACCCTTCCTCTCAAGCTACCATGCTAATTTGAACACCACAGGCTCCAGGGAACTTCTGCCTGGGAAACAGTCTGCTCCCGAACCTGGTTTTCACTGTTGGCAACTAGCACACTCCAGCTGTAACACTGGACCAGCTTGGTAGTAAAAAAATATGTTGTTTAGGTGAACAACAGCACGTTACAGCATGATATGATGCCAAATTAAATATTGTATATCAAAATCAATTCTCTACATCCTCAATAACTCCAGTAAAACAAGAGGAGATATTTCCTATGAAGTATGCATTACAGTGATGGCAAAAAGACAGTGTCATTAAGACAGGTACAACGGCATGTATAAGTGAAATCCAGATGCAACGTATGGTATAGACATACACATGACTTAGATTCATAGATTAAGGGTCGGAAGGGACCTAGTAGATCTTCTAGCCCGACCCCCCACCAGGGCGGGAGAACAACAAAAAACCCCAAAAAGAGAAACGGGACTCAAACGAGTCCAGCCAGGTAGGCATCCAGCCTCTTCTTAAAGACCCCCAGGGTAGGGGCCAGCACCACTTCCCTTGGAAGTTGGTTCCAGCTCCTAGCC